AATGATTTGATGATTTGATGATTTGTTTATGTCTCTAGCTCTTGCAAAATTTTGGATTTTACTATAGTGTTATTTAATGACAAACACAAAGTCTGCCTACAAGTATTTTGATTTCATCTGTCTTTTCAATGAGCTATGAGTTGGTTAGAAAGTTAGGTCACGTAGACATTATTTTTTACTCATTTGTGTTTGCAATGTTCTTTGAATTTGAAGTTTTGTGTTTACGATAGCTCACGTGTGTATTTGTGTTTGTGAGTGTTGTTTTTTAGATATATGGATTTGAAGAATCTCATGGATACTCATGGTATTTTGAAAGTTGAGTTCTATGAGTAAAAATGTGTAGAATCCATGTCTCAATAACATGAAATTTTAATAGAATTAGAAAATCAATGGCAACTAGATTTTTTCAATAACAAGGAATTTTATTTAGAATTTAAGAATCCATAAACTAATAATAAATTATTTCTTTAAAAATGTCATAATCCATAAACCAATAACAATGGATTCTTAAAATTCTAAAAATCCATCTACCAATAACCCCCTAAATGAATTCAGCTTCATCGGAACTTTATAGGGTAGTCAAAGCAGATTACAAAATAACATGAAGATACCACCAAGGGGATCAACGATTCAACAACATATATATATTTTTTATAAAATTATTCACACAATATTACAAATCTTTCCCTTGAGTAAATCACTAAAATCTTCAATAACTGGTACAATGATATTTGATTTATCTACATGTACGTGTGTGTATATCTGTTCGACGTTGAAGGGGAGTTTCACCAGATATTAACATTTCCAGTCATCCCGAGCGTGAACGCAATCAAATAGATAACGGACTGTTCAGACAGCAAAATAGAATGTATGAGAGAGAGACAATGGTTAATCCAATTTCTGTACTGAGATTAGTGGTGTGATGAAATAGACAGGGAGAGAAACTCACTGCGATTGCACAGGCAACGTAGCCTGCCTTCTCGCGGTTATCAACAGATGTGCACATAATTATAAAAGCACCGAGGTACCAAGGGATTCCACCGAACAAGAAGCCCAATATAAATCTGAGAGCAAAGACAGCACTTCAAAATTAGCAACTAAACCAACATAAGTCACAAGATGTATGATTTTCATGTTTCTTGTGTACATATGGAAACAATAGAATCACATATCAAAATTGAATGACCAACACATCTATATACTTTTATTGAATATCATCTGTCTCGGTTATGTTTTATTATCAATGTAGAGCTCAAACTATCTAATCTATCACACAACCAACAAACATTAGCTGCTCAACAAAGTTGCAGTAAGAACAAATACCCAAAACTAAACTAAAACAAGAAGTTACAGCATAACCAAGCCTGCTAAGTATACCAAGACRTGGGCATTTAACATGAGGATACAACGTCTGTTTTTTTCCTATATCCAAAGAACAACTTATATAGCTAAAAACATAATCTTTCGTTCATCTTTATAGAACTCAAAACATCGAAAAATCTATCACACAACCAACAAACATAGACAGGCAGCTCAACAAAGCTGCAGTAATAACTAAGAAACAGAGCACTTCAAGTTTCCTTTTCCAAGGTTCTGTCTCAGTGTTGATAAATCAGAAATCTTTTTGGAGTGAAAATCATGAGAATCCAAGAAACAGAAAAAAGGGAAAGTTAAATGATGATTGAATCAGAAAAAAGCTTATTTGCAAAGTCATTCAGACTGAGTTATCCGGAAGATTCGGCATAGCAAAATTTATAGCTGCACCAAAAACCAATCCAAAGATAAAACAGTCTGATCTTAAGTACCTGCTATATCTCCTCATCTTCATCATCTAATAATCCGCGAATACAAAAGAAAGAAGAAAAAGGTAAAAAACCCAAATTCTAATCTCTATACCCTAATTCATACAATCATACATCCACAAATCTGAAATGTTCATGGAAACGAAGAATG